CATTGTATGAAATTCTCAAAGAATTAAGAACTAGTTCATTGACTTACAAATATTGAGTTACTAGTTTGCTGACCATTACTATTTCTTCTGCTGCTAAACAAGACCAGATACTACATTCTACCTCTTCTACCCTTGCTGAGTACAAGCTTTGTCTTCTTGCTTGTCTTCTAAGAGTCTAGTAGAAGGCACTCCTGTCTGTCAAAGGCTCTGCCTTTGGGCCTGGTACCCCTCCATTCTGTTCTCTCCAGTGGATGCTGATACTCATGGTATGCTATGGTACCCTTGATGGCTACTCCTGGAAGCTTTCTTTCCGCAGATCTTTACAGTCTGAGACTGGTCCCATCCAGAGACTGCTCCTTTGGAGATTAGCTAAATCCGTCCCCTTAATCCAGCTCTACTCCATAAACTCTGCCTCCTTGTTTATCTGTATGTAATAACCCCACATCCTTGTTCATCTGTGTATAATAAACACGATGAGATTCCGGGGTGCTATGGTTTCTCCAGCTGAAGCCCAAACTGCCCTATCCCAGTTTTCTGTCCATGTGCCCATCTGTCTGTCTTTTATTCATTTTCTCACTACTCTAGTCAGGTTCATTGCCAGAGCCATGGTGGACTTGGCATGGGGACTTACCTTTGAAGGAAGAAATGTCCCCCTCTTTGTGTGAGGAGAGTATTAGCAGTGGGACTCATGGTCTATGCTCCATTCTATGCGGATGCCTTTTGTATACAAACGTGCTTTTATGCATCCAAGGCAGTGCTAGAAAACAAGTCATTTATCTCTTCATAAAAAAATTTGAGTCAAGACAGTAGTTACTCTATAACTTGCAGGTCTTTTTGTCCCCCTTCTCAGTAGGAGGCTGGTGTTCTCCTAGTAAACAATGAACCAGATTCAGTCTCCTCCTGATTTCAGATGAAACTATGATCATTAAAACTCTTATCTTCCCTTTTGTCCAAGAGTCCCCCTCTGGCTTTGTAGTTATAGTTGATGCCGATGTACTTACGTTGTGTTTTCAATTAGCCATGCTTTTAAGGAAATGGTGAAAATAACAGATGCACTTTCAATTGAAGTTTTATTGCTTTTAAAGATATAAATAGCAAATGTATGTTCTTTGTCAACAGCGAACAATATGCTGTACAAAGACACCCCTGACTTTTGTTTGTGATTTTTTTTTTTTGTTAGAGATGAGAAACTATTTTTACAATTTTTAACAGATACAAAAAAACCACCCATACATGTGCATACTAACAGGCTACTATGTAAAGTTGGGCGTGAGACTTCTGAACAAGCAAAGCCCAACCAGCAAAGGATGGCTAGGGACAGTGACGAGGTACCATTTGTCATAGGTTGGGTACTGTGCTAAAGACTTTAATTGTCAAGTCTAATCCTCAAGCTCCTGGGGGTTATTATCACATCAAGAGAAGTTACACTGGCCAGTGTCTTGTAGGCCAGCAACAGTAGAGCCTAGCTCTGAACTCCAGTCTGCCTAATTCTGAAGCCAGTGCCCTCAACCTCTGTGCAAACTGCTCTCACACAGATTTATGTCCGATATCAGAAGCCCCGATTGCTCCAGTTGAGCAGAGTCTATGCAAAGCCCTCTGAAATGCAGTCGGAACTCATTTTCAGAAACCAGACAGTGTTAAGACGCTGTTTATAACTCTGCAGTAGTATTTTATAAGTTATTTTAAGAGCATAGTTTTCACGTCTCCAGATTGCCTCAGAGAAAAACACATCTGTAGGCTTCTGTCCAAGTTGTGATTATTTGTAATTGATGCTTTTGGAAGTGTTTCTGTTCCATCATTTTGCTAAACACAGATTTAGAAAACCACACAATTCCATCAGATGATGTGATTAGCAAGCCCCCAAGTTTCCGGGCAGTGGATGCCTTCAGCGCCTTGGCTTGAAGACACATGATAACAAGGGAAAGATAATCAGCAGAGCCACTGAAGAGAGAGGCAAGGTTTTCTTCTCCATCTGCTTCAGTGGAAATGTGTATTTTTCCTTTCTTCCCTCCACTACTCTTCCTTTCCCCTCCCCATCCTTTCATTCTTATGCTGGGAATCCAACCCAGATCCCCTCAGCTGCTAGGCAAGTGCTCTGCCACTGAGCTATTTTTGAAGCATCTGTGGCTCACTGGAGATTTGCAGACTGTTACCCGTTTCCATACAGTAAAAGCATCACCTCAGTACGTGTTTCCGTTAAAAAACCAACGTTGAAAAAGAGAGATGGAAATATTTTAGCTGATGCTGTCTCATTTACTTATAGCATTCTGAAGAAGCCATGCTGCTCCCTTTCCTCTTAATGTCCCCAGTGTATGTGGTGACAGGCTTTCCATGATAGGTACTATATTTGGTGAAATATTTGTATATATGTATGTGGTGTGTGTGTGTGTGTGTGTGTGTGTGTGTGTGTGTGTGTGTGTGTGTGTGTGTACTGCTACCACATTGTTAGAGTCTAGTCATTCTCACCAAGCCATCATCTGGAAGAATCCCACAAAAATGAAAGCTCACTTTTTATTATCATATTCCTCATTCCAAACCTAACCAACTAAAAATAACTGTGAAATAATTCAGAGGAAACAACCTTCACGTCCACAGATAACTCATCCAATAAGCATAACGTAGCAGAGGGGTATGGAGTGTAGTCAATGATATTCGTGAGTGAACAGACTGTTATTGGGCTGGTCCTGTGTCACACACTTTAATCCTGGCTCTCAGAAGGCCAGCCTGATCACCATAATGAATTCCAGGACAACTTGGACTACATAATAAGACTCTCTCTCTCTCTCAAAAGAAATAAATAAATTTTAAAAAGAACAAAGAAAATGTCATTTTGAAACTTATCACTTCGTACAAAGAATATATGCTACTAAAAATTTTTAATAAACAAAATCAAGGCTTATATAGCTAGACTTCTCAGAAGTCACAATTAAAAAAAGAAAAAAACAAAGATCACAATTTGAATCCAGCTATATTAAACTCTGAAGTTTGCAGTATATATCATGAAGTGAGAGGGCAACATAATTTTTCACTCACACTCTTTCACATGAACAGTTGTTATTTTTAGGTGTGTTCATTGAAGACAGCCGGTGTGACTCTTACCAGTCTAGATGAGAAGTAGCACAGAGAAGGAGGGGTATGAGCTCTGAGAGTGGCCAGTACCGTGTGGGCCTAGAAAGCCTGACCAGCACTGCAGAGTAGCTGGAGCCTGCCAGCGCCCCTGATACTGGTGCCTCTCAGAGCTTGTCTCTGCTAATATAGAGCCCCTCATCACTGAACCTGACCTTGTCACTCTGTCCCCTCTGACCCCTCGATGAAGCTGCCATTGGTTCAGGATTTATATGTACCACTGGCCCATTGAAGAGACAGTCACAGAGGTGTGGTAGAAAAGCTGGTTAATGTGAATGCCTTACAGTGGAGCTGGAGGTAGAGTACTTTGCTGTGGGATGGTCTGTATGTCAAATGCTCTCATTGGTCAATAAATAAAACACTGATTGGCCAGTGGCCAGACAGGAAGTATAGGCGGGATTAACAGAAAGGAGAGAACAGGAAGGCGGAAGGGACACACTGCTAGCCGCCACCGTGACAAGCAGCATGTGAAGACGCCGGTAAGCCACGAGCCACGTGGCAAGGTATAGATTTATAAAAATGGATTCATTTAAGATGTAAGAACTAGATAGCTAGAAGCCTGGCACGGCCATACAGTTTGTAAGCAATATAAGTCTCTGTGTTTACTTGGTTGGGTCTGAGCAACTGTGCGACTGGAGAGTGACAGAGATTTGTCCTGACTGTGGGCCAGGCCGGAAAACTCTAGCTACAGTACTTGACTAGCATTCACAAAGCCCTGGGTTCAATCCCCAGCACCATGAGAAATTTTTAAAAAGAGACGATGCTGTTCATATCAGGATGGCAAACCCATTAGCTAACCCTCTCAACAGACCAAGACAGTTCTATTCTTTTAGGTACACGTTCCAAACACTGGCCTGTACACAAGGAGACATTTCCTTCAAGTGACCAAGAGGCCCAATGGTTCCTACTCGTGATGGGAACCTCACCCAGAACTTTTGAAAATGAGTGTGTTCTTGGAATTTGGTAACAGAGTCTGCATTTTATTCTCTCTGTAGATTGTTAAACAATAGAATACACTTTACTAATGGAATTTTTGAAGGGAAAGAAAATTTCTTGACTCACCAATATAAAAGCGTAGTATAGCATTGGGTCATGTGAAGTAAGCGGTTTAGAGTCCTTCCCAGGGATTTTAAGTGCCGTGGACTTTATTATTTTTGTTTTTGTTTTTCGAGACAGGGTTTCTCTGTGTAGCTTTGCGCCTTTCCTGGAACTCACTCTGTAGACCAGGCTGGCCTCGAACTCACAGAGATCCGCCTGGCTCTGCCTCCCGAGTGCTGGGATTAAAGGCGTGCGCCACCACCGCCCGGCCGTGGACTTTAATAAAGTTGTGTTAACTTAGGCCTTAAGTGCGTAGTGACACTACACTTCTTTGCTTTCATCAACTAATTTAAAAGACACCTCTGCTGTTCTTTTAGGGGTGAATCTTATTTCTGTTTCATACATTTGAAAATAAAACTGGCTTTGGGGATAACGGTAAGAACCCACTGGCCCCCAAACTTTAAATGATTACTTTAGAATCAGTACCAGCAATATCTTAGCTTTGGGACCGTAGTTTTCAAAAATTCGATAAACTTTATAAAATGTGCATGTGCATCTTAGTTCTGGTTTTTCTTCTGCCTTTGGTAATATTGTAACACTTCTCAGCCTGCTCAGCCATGTTGGCTCTGAAAAAAGCCCACCTGCTTGTTTTCTGGGTCTTGAATACGGATAGGCCCTGCCTGAAGATAAGCCTGTTAAAGTTAGAGCTGGGGTTTTCCTGCCTGGCTTTATCACTCTCCTCCTAAACCACAGTCTGCCTTCTGATAGCTCTAATAATTAATTTGGTCTTCTCTCTTTCTTCTCCCTCCCGCCCTGTTCTCCCTGTCTGTTCACAGGTTATCTTGACGAATCAAATTACGACCCATCTGAGTGGAGCCCTCCCTTCTCAAGCAGACCTGGTGTCTCCGGCTGATGATTTGTCCCTGTCTGAAGGTAAAGGATCTGTCCTGGAGAGACTGAAACTTGACACTGACATGCAGCCTCCTGCCTCCTGCTGAGAGCTGGGAGACATGGCTACTGGACGCTGGTCAGTGCAGCCTGCTGGAGCCTGGTGATTTAGGCTTGGACATCTGGCTGGGCACCTGATCTGTTCTTGTCTTTTGCGGTCTCCGAGTGAGTTCCCTTTGAATCATCTTCACACACATCCATCCCTTCCCCCTGGAGGGAGTCTTGTCAGCCCGCTGTGGTGCCTTGCTAACCAGTTCTGTTTCTGAGACTGATGGGCCAGCATTGCTTTTACTAGTGGTCCCGTCGCGATCTTGTCTTTTATTTGTCCTGAGCACCCCTGGACTGCCTGTGAGTGTGCAGTGGTTCCCTGGGCAAGAGATCTGACATTCCAGCTCAGCTTTACAGAAGAAGCAAGACAAAGTCTCCACAGTTGTAAATCTGCCCGTTTTCTCTACCGCCTCCTACTAGCAAAGGTCAGACTGGCTGGGATTTTGAAGGCAGTGAACTTTGAGTCGTTGGGGGAACCACAGCAGCAGCCAGAAGGTGGTTTCTAGTTTTGTTGAAAGTCCTCCCTTGACATTTCGGAGCTTTTCTAGTTGCAGTTGAATTTGGGGCACAGTGCGAGGGGCCGGAGCAGACCCACAGAGTTTTTCCAGGCCCACCTTCCCTTTCTGCTTTCTGAGAACTGGTCATGATGGAATACAGGGGACTTTCAGGCCTAGACAGGCTCCTGACTGCCTGACCAGGTCGTCTTCATGCACCAGCACCGCTGTAGTCTCAGACTGGAAGCCCCACATGTCTGCTTCCTGGTGGTGTTTTTCATAGTGAAAACTACTGACGTGTTTAAGAAAGCTGTGAGGTGTTCTGTCTGCCCCTTCTCTCTCCGTTCAGTGCTCTCTGATCCTCCTGCCGCCTCAGCTGAGAGCCTGAACTAGCTGGACTCCACCTCTCCTTCAACCCCTCTCATCAAGATTGACTTTAGCTTTCTTTGCAAATATATCTTTCATGTGTCCCTTCGTTTCCTTTGTGATTTGTGTTATGATCAAGTGATTTATTAAAACTCATAATTGGCTCATTTTAATAAACCCTGTAAGACCTTCTGTTTCCATTCTGCTGTTTGGCCTTCTTCCAGGGTGTCTCCCTCCTACTCAAAATGCTGAAGATTGTCTTTTCGGAGGATGTGCTAAAATAAGTGTGCCAATTTGAAAATGTTCAAAGACTTGGGGTTTATTGTAACAACCGTGTAATACAACGTGGGGGTCAGCAAATGCAGAAACTCCAGTATTTTTCTTTTGAGTGGTCTAGTTTCTAGAACCCCACTAAACAAGGTTAATCCTTCTTAACCCTTCCCAGTCAGCCCTCCCCTTGCTGGTCAACCCACTAAGTCCTTGAATCAAACGTCTGGTCAAGTGTGCCGCCTTCTGCTGCCCTTCGTCCTGTCTCTAGAAGGCTTTCTCTTCTGTCCTCTCACCCCTCTTCCCAAGGCCAGGCCTCCAGGCTCCAAGACTGCCTCTTGCATAGAGCCTCCTGGCCTGCACGGTCGGCCTTGCGCTCCCCCTCCTCTGTGTCCTCTCTGCCTGCTTGGATTTGTAAAGAAATGCTCTAAGAAGGTTAACTTTTCATATATTTTAAAACTAAATCGGTAGATCTGTCTCTCTGGTGCGAGAGATGGAACTTAGGGTCTCCTGCAGATTGTAATAGCAAGTGCTTTACTACTGAATATAGAACCAGCCCTATGCTGTATTCTTTTTGTGTGCGTGTTTTTATCACAGGGACCAACCAAAAGGTGTAGACATGCTATAAGCAGTAAGGGGACATTAGGTGAGTACCACAGAAGAGTGACCAGCACTCTGCCTAGGAATGCCATTAAAAATCTCTATAATTATACACACAACACACACACACACACACACACACACGCATGCACACCATAAACACACTACACACAAACACGCTCACAAACCTTACATGCACACATACACACCACACACAAATTTGCTCAGCTCTGAGGAAACCAGAAGAGAGTATCTTGCTTCTTTATTTGAAAATAAGTGGATTTCTTTTTCTTGTCTCCCTGCTTTATATTAAGCAAAGAAGTGGAACAAAATGGAGGGAAAGGAATGGCTTTGAGCCGGGCAGTAGTGGCACACACCTTTAATCCCAGCACTCAGGAGGCAGAGGCAGGCGGATCTCTGAGTTCGAGGCCAGCCTGGGCTACAGAGTGAGATCCAGGAAAGGTGCAAAGCTACACAGAGAAACCCTGTCTCGAAAAACAAACAAACAAACAAACAAACAAAAGAAATGCCTTTGAACTCTAGTGTAATGGCAACAGGAAAATGATGAGCTGTTCATAGGAAAGGGCGTTCCTAGCTCATCCTTAGGTAACTATTCCTAGTGATGAAACCCGAGAGGGAATTGAAGCAGTTGGTTTTTTTGTTTTGTTTTGGTTTGTTTTTTTAAGGTATTTTTCTTGTATTGAGGGAACATGTAAATAGGGCATGGAAATATTTTTCCCGAAGTTTATAATGGAGTTACTTACCAGTGAGTTAAAATAAACAGATTTTGGCCAGGGGAAAGCACTTGCCTAATACTCATGAGACAGCGATATTCTATCCCCAGAACTTCAGACAAAAAACAAAACAAAAAACAAAAACAAAAGCACACTGATGGGGGGGAGCATTTCTTAGAACATGCATTCCTGCTCAGATATATTGCAGTGATCCCTAAGTTTCTATGAAAGAGATGTGAAATACATAACATAAAATAGAATAAACTACTTGTGGGGTTTAGGCTTTTATTTGTTGACCTTTGAATATGTGGTAACTATGACCATGGGCAGATCTTTGGGGCCTCAGTTTCTTCTGTCTGGTGTTATTTTGAAGGAGTAAAAGATTGCTCGAGTCGTTTTCAGTGCTGACATGGTGAGGAGGGTCTGCAGCTGGGAAGCACCCAGCCACGGGTGGTTCTTCTGCTTTACAGAGTCCTGTAATGGATTTCAGCTGCAGAGCAGAGGCCCTTGCTTAAACAGTGCTCGCTCGAAAACAGTTTGGAGAGCAGGCAGCCAAGAGCAGCCAGCAATAAAATGATCTGGGTTGACCTAAGAGGAGCACCCAGCAGGAGCTGATCCGGGAAATGAAGTCCCTTCTGCTCTGATGCAGAAAAGGGAATACAAGTGACCCGGTCCAACCAAGCCATCTCTTCTGCCCAAGCTGATCCTGTGCTATTAATATCGGCCAGCTGCAGGCCCAGAGCATCCCCTGCTGAGATCAAAGGAGCCCCTATCTTAGCTGGAACAAGGTCATCTGCACAGGGCTATAAAAGTAAGTCCTGGCTGCCTACAAGCATGGCTATGGGGGAGGAGAAGGCAGGAGATGGGAGGCGCTCTCCTCCTCCCCCTCCTCCTTTCATCTCAGCTGACCAGCTGGTGCCCTCCCAATGTCTGTAGAGTTGAGAGGTCTTTGTTTGTGTGGTGCTGCCTCTGCCTTACTCACTTTGTGCCTGGCTTGTTGTCTGGACCAAGCACACCCAGTGCTCGCAGTTTGGGTCCACGGCATGAGTGCCTGCATTGAGGTTTCCTTCCAGTGCTGAGTTACCCGGCTCCTGGGTGGGAAGGCCGAAGAAGGGAGAAGTGGACCCCATAGGCCAAGGCCTTTCTCAGCCTACTCTTGCCCTGCAGCTTGGGCCTTGAGAAGGAATTCTTACGAGGACACGTTCAATGAATTCGGCATTTTGCAATCTGCCTTTCACAAACTCGTGAATTGGAGAAAATAGAACTTTCGGGACTCATGCCAACTTAGCGGGGTTGCAAAGTCATCCCATCCCGGTGTGCCTCTCGGTCTCCCTGGGTTCACACTCTTCCATATGTTTGTATGGAAGAGACACAAAGAGAATAAGAGACAGACAAGCCCAGAAACATATATAGAATGAGGAAAAAAGCCATACGGGGGTGTGACAAGTATACCAAAGTGTCCCTACGAACTAGAGCAGCCTCAGCAATGAGGTCATTTGCCTCACTCTGTATGCTAGAATTAAAATCCCACCAGGGGGTTGAACTGTAGACCCCCTTACAATAACAGCAGGGCTGGAAAAGACGTCAGCAATGTTCTATTTGTCCAACCTGCAGTCTCACAAAAGAGACTGGGTAAAAATAATGATTTTTATTGTTTTACACTTTCCATAATCCTAGGCCTGAGTGGGTAAAGTCATTCAAAGTGTCTTTTTCCGTTTTTGTTCCGTTGGCAGAAACCCTGACACATAAGTTGTCGGAGCTCAATCATTGGTTTTTACAACTTTCCTGTTTCTCCGCTCTTGCTTCTTCCTTGTGCCACTGAAGGACCTGGGTCCCTTCAGTGCTGGGTCTCAGTTACAGGGTCTCTCTTTCTCCACATTGATCATTAGGGAAAGGATCTAGTGATCCAGCTGCCCACACATGCATATCCTATTCCGACCTGGGACATAGTTGGTAAATGACACTGATGTGTCGTATCAAGACTGACACTCTGCTCACCCCACCCTTTCTCTTGCTTCCTTCTGATGGGTTAGGAGGGCAGCAGTTACTTTCCAACAGTGACTTGGCCCACTTGGGGAGTCCCAGGTGGCTCCACGGGATGGAAGGCATTACTAGGCTTCTGTCCCGCATTCTGGCATCGGGCATGTTGGTGTCTTTGTATCTCCATTAGTAGTCTCGGGTAGATTATAGCACATGGAAACTAACACTTAAAAGTGCACTGCAGGGTCAAGGATAGAACAAAAGAAGACTAAACTGCACTTCTTCTAGAACCCAAAATGTTTTTTAGCTTTAGTGCTGGAACGCCTTTCTATTCCTGTTGCAGTCAGGGGAATTGATGGCTGATTTCATTTGCAAGAGAAAGTATTTTTGGGATTCAAATTCCCCAACAAACCACCCTTGCAAAAAGCTGGAGTCCATTTGAAAGATTATATGCAAGTGTGTGTGGCTTGTGTGTCTTTTAAAATAAATTTAGCAA